GGTTTTGGGTTATATCGCAAAAGTTTTGGGTTATAACGCAAAGGTTTTGGGTTATATCGCAAAAGTTTTGGGTTATAATGCAAAGGTTTTGGGTTATATCGCAAGGTTTTGGGTTATAATGCAAAAGTTTTGGGTTATAACGCAAAACATGACTTCTTTTTTTTTTTCCTTCTGACATTATTTTTTCTCCTCCTTTGTCCCCTTAGGGGCTCCGTAGTTTTCCACTCAGAATGTAAGTAAAGCGGAAACAAACTATCTTAGTGTTTATGGAAATCGCGCGTCTTGTTTATGAACGGCTGTCATGCATTTATTATGTTGTAATGCCTGCAACTAGATTAATATTACATAAGATGGACGGGTAGCATTTAAGACCACGTAGGCTACCATCATTTCCAGCTAGTCAGCATCACATTGTACGAAAGTACAAATTACAAAGTTGTGCATTAAGTCACTTTCCTGCTTTTAGTCGTGTCACCTTTAGCTTCCCCCCATACCATATTTGTAAAAGCAAAAGTTTAATGTTTCGGAAGGAAAGCTTTGATATTTGTTTGCACGATACACACAGTTAACTTTTTTCTATGTACACCTGCTGAAAACAATGAATATGATCTATAAATACATCTGAATAATTTGATTTGCAAAGCAGCGCGTAAAATTGGTTCAGACGTGATGTTTGTGTGCATGTGCCTGTGTTTTGGATTAGAGTTTGTACTGGCAATGTCCTACAGCTTTCGCAACGTTGATCAAAATCGAAATATAAAATATAGGCGGAAACGTTTTTGCAATTTCCTCTGTTACGATCCCCAGTCTAGGGTTGGGGATCGCCAGAAAGGTAGAGGAGAGGGAGAGGGGAAGATGGGACAAGCAGGGAACGGGAAAGGGGGACACAGGAAACAAAGGGATCTTTTTTGTATTTTTTTATATTTATTCACAGACACAGTTACAAACACAAGGTGCAACAAACTTCGGGAGTGACCCACGCCAAAATAACAACCAAAACAGCTAACGAACACGTCCCCAAACTAAGCTAACTCTAAAGGTAATGAAAACAAGAGGAAACAAAATGACAAAGACTAAGTGTAACTCCCTAACCAAAACAACAGTAAACACCACGTTCTCAAAAACAAAAAGGCAGTCACTCCTTACGCACCTAACAGACATGTACAGAAAACACACAGGCCGAAACACGGTGTCCAAAAGGGCGAGGCAAAGAGAGTAGTCAGGAGCTAAGCAAGAGTTCAAACCAGAAGACAAACAAACCGAAGGCAAAGGTACCAATAGGGCAAAGCAGAAAGTCAGAAACCGGGAAACCAAAACAGTCATACACAGGAGTCAATCAGAAACAGCAAACCAACACAGCGATAGCGAAAGACAAAGCTTGAGCAAGAGCTCGAGCTAGATGTGACCAGCAGGCTTTATCTGGAACACAGGTCAGAGGTCAGAGGGCGGAAGGGGCATGGCCGGAAACTGGGAGGCGGCGATTGGCGAGTGGAGCTTGGGGCAGAAGACTGAGGTGTCCTGTAGACATATCCAAACACTTACGGCACATAACACCCCCCCACACAAGAGTGAACCCACAGGGTTCACTAACATACACAGACCCCAAATCAAAACTCACATAATAAACAAAAGAAAACATAGAGAACCAAAGGAAAAGAAACAGACCATGTCAAATAACCAAAGTAGTTAGGATCTCGAGAGGGCGTCGGCTACTACATTGCTGGCACCTATCTTATGTCTGATTTCTAAATTGAAAGCTTGTACAATCAGTGCCCAACGCATGAGGCGCTGGTTCGTGTTACACATACGGGACAGGAAAACTAAAGGATTATGATTAGTGTATACGACCACCGGATTAGCACAATCTCCCACATAAACCTCAAAATGTTGTAAGGCTAAGAGAAGAGCTAGGGCCTCCTTTTCAATTGTGCTATATGCTAGCTGGTGTTTCACAAACCTTTTTGAAAAGTAACACACAGGATGGTCCAAACCGTGATTGTCTTCTTGGAGGAGAACCGCACTGGCACCTAAACCGCTAGCATCCACCTCCAGTTTGAATGGCCGAGTGAAATCTGGAGCAACTAGGACAGGGGAGCTACTGAGCAACATCTTAACGGAGTCAAAGGCAATTTAACAGGCTGGGGACCATACAAACGGTACGCCCTTTCGAAGCAACTGGGTCAGAGGAATTACAACATCAGAGAAATTATGACAGAAACATCGATAATATCCGGCCATCCCCAAGAACCGTTTTAACTCACGTGGCATTTGTGGGACGGGGAATGACCGGATAGCTTGGACTTTGGCATCCAGAGGCTTAACCACACCATGACCCACTAACTTTCCCAAGTAACTAACAGTTCCAAAGTGTAGGACTAACGAAGCATCTTTTAAACGAGCAAAAACTAGTTCTAGGGATTGCATATGATGTTCCCACGAATCGGAATAAATGACAACATCGTCCAAATATGCCTCACAATTTGGGACATCACCGAGCACCTTTTGCATGAGCCGCTGAAAAGTGGCCGGGGCATTGCGTAACCCGAAGGGCATGACTGTGTATTGGAGGAAAATGTTGGGGGTAACAAAAGCAGAAATTTCTGATGCACGAGGAGTGAGAGGAACCTGCCAATAACCTTTTAATAGATCTAGTTTAGTCACATATTTGGCAGACCCAATCCGATCTACACAGTCTTCCATACGCGGAAGTGGGAAAGCATCCGGCCTGGTTACGGCATTTACCTTATGGTAATCAGTACAGAACCGGGACGTTCCGTCAGGCTTGGGGACGAGCAAACACGGGGAACTCCAGGGACTGCAGCTAGGCACAGCGAGACCGGTCGTCG